TTTTTTCACTTTTCAATTTAGAGCCGAAAAATTTAGGTGTTTTCCAGACGAGCTCTGGGGATAAACTGAAATAAATGTGAGCCGAGCAGAGGCTCCTAGCCTCAGAATCGCATGCAAAGGTAACTAGATCCAAAAATTTATTTTATTCCTTTGCAAAGCTAACTAGATTCATGGAATTGCAATTGTTGCTTTGCAAAGGTAACTAGATTAAAAATGCAATTGTTGAGTTTTTCCTAATTTTTTTCCTTAATTGCTGACGTGTCCATTGTATACAAAATGTATATAGAAAGTAGGCAAGCATAAAGCGGATATAAAAAGTCTATAAATTAATTGGAGTGTGATGTAAATTGCTTTTCATCAATCAATTGAATAAATCAATTTGTTGCTCGAAATATGAGTAGATTAGGATGAAACATTATTGCGATAGAAGAGCTATGAGCTATTTATAATGCACTGAGGGTCACCAGGTTTTTCAGCTCTAAAATCGTGATGTCTGGGACCAAGTCGACCAGCATTCCGTGCTGCAGCAAGCAGTCTGGATTTCATTGGCATTTCCAGCAGATTCCCAGTCCTCTTTATAACATAAAGACAAGTAAGGACAAGTCGATATTTATGTTTTTAAGGTGAAGGCATCGGACGTTTAGTTCCAGCTTCAGAATCAACGCCGAAGTCTCTTTTCCTCTAAGGGAAAAAGCTGATATGGGGCAGATGCAGCTTGGTGAAGATCTGCACTGCGCAGGGAAACCATTCACTTTATGGATGGGGTTAGGAATGGGTATACTCTTCATGTAATATGCCCGTTGATTCATTATACATAGAAATATTTCTCAGTTTGTCAGCGGCTAGCAAAGCTCCCCTAATGATAATAATGAAATTCAAAATGATGATAATGATGTTAGTAATTGTAATGATAATAGTCGAATTTAATCCAACAACTTTTAGCTAATTAACGAGAGATATTTCTCAGTTCGTCAGCGGCTAGCACAGCTCCCCTAATAATAATAATAAAATTTAAAATGATGATAATGATGTTGTCAGTAATTGTGATGATAATAGTCGAATTTAATCCAAAAACTTTTAGCTAACTAACGAATGAGCTCTAATAGCACCCGGAGCTGACCTACACTGAATTCAGCTACCCCCTTGCCCGGCTATCATCGGTCCTTTGCCGCACATCCTAATCACATGTGTGCGCCCAATGAAGGCGAAGTAAAAGAAGAGAGAGAGAGAGAGGAGAGAGACAGACCCAGGAGCTAGCATGTAGCAGCGCCTCAACTTATTATCGTGATAGCATTAGCAACCCCCAAAAATGTAGTAAGGAGTAGAAAAAAGAATACAGCCAATCGATCATGATTCAACGCTCGGAATTTGCGAAAGTCTCCCCAGACGGGGCGTTCACAAATTGTATGAATTATTTAAATATTGATTTATTAGTTGAAATTTTTCATCTAATTTAATAGGGTGAACGGGGGCACAGGGCTAAGCGAATGGGTGAGGAGAGAGCGGAGAGGGGAGAGTGGGGAAGGTAGATGGGAGATGTTTTTCGGCTGTTTCAGTTTTGCAGGCAATTTATGAGGGGGGGCACGGCATATGCTGCCATATTCTACGTGTGTGGCTTAGTTAGTGTGTGTGTGTGAGTGTGCGTGTGTGTTTGTGTGTTGTGGCAGAGCATAAATGGAAAATTGAAAATTAAATGTGGGAAAAAGCTGCTGAGAAGCCTTTGACAAGAGTCAGAAACATGGAAGCAAATTGTTGTTGTTGTTGTTGTTGTTGCTTGGCTAAATGAAAACTCGTTTATTAATCTACTAGTGGTGTGTGCGTGCGTGTGTGTGTGTGCGTTTGTGTTCTGTGTGTTATGTTTGAGCTTTGACTGCTAGCAAAGCACAGACGCCTTTTGCTTGGAGCAAATAGCAAAGGCTACAAATGTGCAATACCCGCACAGGACATACACCCACGCATGTCACACACACCCACACACACACACACACACATGTGTGTATGCAAAGTTTATATCGCGTCCGTTTTTGCACATTAATTTACTGACCTTTTTGTGCCTTTTTGCATAGTTTTCCAACTGAGGCCCAGGCACACCCACATCTAGATGTCAGCACACACCACATGCCCCCCAACCCTCCCCCACCTTGCCTTACCTAGTGTAGCAACTTCACATGCCAACATACACACAGACACACACAGAGCTTGAGCTCGTATCTGTTTCTTCTTGTTTGCGGTTAACTGTGAACTGAGCGAGAGGCAAAGAAAAACTTCTTTTCTCTATGCGTGCCAGTATGTGTGTGTGTGTTTGCGTGTGTGTGAGGCTTAGCTGGGGGCTGAGGCTGTTCTTGTCCGCTCGTAACATATTACAGCGTATGATGAATGTGTGACATTTTTGCAGCTTGTTTGTTTGTTTATTGTTTGCGCTTTCTACTTTTAGTTTTGCTGTTATCCAGCAGGACAAACATACACTTACACATTTACACACACACACACATTCACACACACCCACACTGCGAAATAGCTAAACCAATAAAGCATTAAAAGTCCACTGTATAAATATTGCTTGCAAATACATATGATACACTAGCAAATACTCAGTACATGAAATTGGGGAAAATGGGAAAATCTATCAAAGTTAATCAACACTGGTTAGCTTAGAGTTCAAGAACTTACACTTGAAAGGATATATATTGCAAATATGTACAATATAGGTCCTATAGAATATATAGAACATATTCGAGAAGTTGCAAAGGATATAGCCTATCTCTCTAACTGTCTCTCGATCTCTTTCATTTTCTTTTCATATCCAATTGTGTTGCTCTCTGGATCTTATTTTCCCCCTCTCCCTCTTCTCGTTTTCTTACTCTTATTATCTAGTCCTCTCTTTTTTTTTCTCTTTCTCTCTCTCTCTCTCTCTCCCTCTGTCTATCTCTTACTCACTATTTATTGTTTCTGTCGCTACTTCTCTACCTTTTTGTCCTCTTTCTTCTCCATCTCTGTCTCCATCTGCGTCTCGTTTTCTACCCCTCCTTATCTTTCTTTTTTCTCTTTTGCTCTTTACTTTCAATCAATTTCCATTCTGTATCTTTCTTTTCCTTTTTCTTTCCCCCTCTCTCTCCCCCCCTCTCTCTCTCTCCCTCTCTCTCTACCTCTCTCTCTCTCTTTCTCTCTCTAAATTTCTAAATCTCTCTCCCTCCCACATTTTCCTTCTCTCTATTTAAATCTCGCCTTTTCTCTGCTTCACCTTCTCTGCATCAGTCTCTGTCCCTCCTTCTCACATTCACTCGCTTGCACTCTCTTTCTCTCTACCTGCTATTCTATGTCTCTGTCACTATTCTCCCTTTTTCTTCTTCTCTCACTCTCCCATCCCCCTTCAACAACACATATTCAACATTGTATGCCTCACCCTCTCTGTCTCTTTATATTTACACAAAGAACTCTCTCTCTCTCTCTCTCT